GTCGCCCTTCTTTCCCAATCCGTTGGTAGGCTGAGCCCAAGTCAAATGATTTTAAAATCTACTTAAGTCAAATAAAATTAGAGAGAAGGATTATCAGCAAAACCAACCAAACAAGAACCCTTACATAATGCTTCACATGAATGAATAATACTCCAGGATGGTACAATTACCTAACAATAGTAACATAAATTGAGATGACTCAATTTTCCTACAGAAAACAACAGTCTATAATTCTATAAGGCTAGGGATACTTTGGAGCTTACAGACACCAATGGAATATCCTTACTTGGTTTCAATACCAGTGAGTCAACAAGAGAAGCCTTACTAAATTTAGACCCTGAGCTGATTTCATCACCAGCCTGTCCTCCCGACAGAGGTCTCTGGGAGGAGGCACAGGGACACCACACAGGCTGGGATCGACCTATTTAACAGGAGCAGATCCGCAGCCAAAAATGGTCACAAAAAGCACTGTTGGGCTCAGGAAGAACTGCCATCAAGCCAAAGCTGGGAGGAACCATCCCAGAGGCCTCTGCACATCAGACGGCCACACCTGTGAGAATCCCAGATCATCCTGCTAACCCGAGACCCTTCCACAGCCGTCATGTACCCAGAACGGTAAGTGCAACTGCAGAACCATTCCCAGAGGAAGAAAATACCAGAAACTGGACCCAGACAAAGCTTGAAACTACATATTGAAACAGAAACAGAATCAAATCCTGATCACTTTTTAAAAGCCAGTCAAGAAAATATCCAACTTTCACATGATTCAAATGATACCTTGTTAAACTAGTAAAAGTTTCAGGGCCACAACTGATCTGTCAACCAGTGATGTGACAGTACAGGGTTTAGTGGCAGTAAGGGCAGTGACCACGGCAGATGTGGACTGTATCCTGGTATTGTCCTAAGTAAGGCAGATGTTTGGGAAGGAAGATGGGGAGAGAAGGGCAGGCTGCACTAGCCTTGTGAGAGGTGGAACAGTCACAGCCGGCTGCTCAGCCGGCCAGGAGCTGATGGTGACCCAGCACCAATCCCAATGACTGCTTCTTAGACTGAGTCGAGGGAAGACAATCTGAACACAGAAGAGTGGAGTCAGAACAGGCTCCGCAAGAGGCCTGGTCCACTATGGCTGGGGAGCTGCAGGGAGGGAAGAGGAGAAGGAAAAGGGAGCAAAGATGGGGACCCAGGGTCTTCAATGTAGGATATAAATGCCGCCAGGATCACATGCCCAGTATTGTTTGAAGGCCTTTTTTTTTTTTTTTTAGCACTGTGCTATTTATCCTCTTTACTTCCAGAAGACTGATTTAAGCTGGTATTCAAGCAAAAGCCCCTTTCCCCTTCTCTCAAAGTGCTATAAATTTTATTAAGTGAATGAATGAAAATATAATGAAATACTTATCAGTTAAACATCCCTGATATGATACGTGACTCAACTCTCCATTTCACTATGGGAAATACAGTTATTCATTCCCAAAACAAATACAGTGAATGGTATATTGTCACAGCACTGCACGAAGTAGCCATATCCCTCTCTCATATTTACAACATATTCTTTGCTTGAAATTTAAAAGTTACCTTTTCATGAAGTAGACAAATTAAACATCTAGTTACGTAACCCAAATACAATGTTCAGAAGATTTTCATTAGGTTAGCTCCTTGGGTAAAATCACAGAAGAGAAGACCACAATTTCCTGCAACATACTCTCAACTGTTTTTCTTCTCTTCCTGTCCTTCCTAAAAAGAAGGACTTACAATAAACATGTGGAAAGGTAGAAAATTCTGAAGAAAATGGAACACCAAAGTGGTAGTAACTCAGCTCTTTATGAGCTGAAAAAAAAAATGTCAGTTTTGATACTGAGCTGGTGGGTGATCTCTCGGTTGGAAATTAAAACAATAACAGGACATGGTGCAACAGGGAATAATATCAGGATGAAGAACTGGCAGGGCTGGCATTTATGTCTTTAGGAAAGAATAAAACATGATGGTGCACCCTGACCCCCTCCAAATCAGTTCTAACATGTGGAAGCATTACGTGTTTTTTTCCAGAGCAGGCCACTGAAAAAATTCCCATACAATAAACTAAAAGGAATTAAAATAAACATTAGAGAAAAAAGTTCAACCAAGAACACTGATGATTCATACGTATTCTGAAGATAAATCACCTAAGCCTACAATATTTACTTTTGTTCTTATGCTAATATCACCGTGCTAGGTTACCTTAAATGTCTGCTAGGACAACGAAGGGTATAAAGAAGTAAACTCATTAATAAATAAATAGAAAGACAACTTCCTCTCACGAAATGCCATTGCTGAATATATATATGTACATATATATATATATATATATATGCCACAGATTAAATTATAAATAGGGAATCAGAGCCAGAATAGATTTTAGATCATTTAACTTCACTTTTACTGGTTTGAGGCTTCTTGAAAATGTACGGTGAGCTCCAGGGCACAGGACGTAAACTTGCTGTGCTTGTTAAATGTGGATTTCTAGGCTCCCTAACCTGGAGGAGTGATTTAGAAGATAAAGGGTCCCATACATCTGCTTTTTTAGTAGCTCCCAGATTATAAAGGCATATAGCTGTGTCAAGCCTGTGACTGTAGAGTGAAATGAAAGAATGTCACTGCAAAAAAATTACATATAAAAAAAGAGCAGAGAAAGGAATAAGGAAGGAGGGGGCAGGGGCTAGAGGAATCCAGGCAGGGGAGGGCAAGAAACATGTTTTAGAGCAGAAAGCGACCTTTAAATATATTTGCTCTTTTGAACCAATCAACCTTGTAACTTTCGGTAGCCAGTAGAGATGATACCTGTGCAACAGCGATCAAAACCAGCGCACCTGACAGTAACATAACTACAGATGGCTGTTAAATACAGAACAAGGCTTCCAGCTAACTGTACAAGGATCCTTCACAAATAGTTTTCTTGACTTGCCTTAGGAAAAATGCAAAGGATATGCAAACAAAATTATGGATTGTTCATCAAAATTCACTACCATAATGAAAGCAAATTCTAATTGGCTCTCTTTTCACCTGTTACCCCAAACTTACCAAGTACGTAATACAGAAAGCTCCTCATGGGTTCCCTGGGCATTCAAGACTCATGGCAATTTTCTCTATGGCTATTTCCTTTATCCTCTTCCTTCACGGGTCTCTCCATAATCAAACCCAATCCCCTTATGCACATGTACATACACCCACCAGTGGGTGAAAACTGCTTTTCATTTATTCTCCAAATGGTATTAGGTGCTGGGTAAAAGTAAATCCAGAAATGTGCCACAGCAATGTGGCATGTGTCATTAACAAAGGGATCCTATTAACAGAGAAATTTTTTTGTTTTGTTTTTGCATCAAATTTAAGATAAAAACACCAGAGGGCTCCGTTATGTACAGCAAGAACTATGCAATAGTTGAGTGGAGATTTGAGGTTGGGTCAGACACAGTAAGAGTTGTTTCTGAAAGTAACTTCTATAGCCTCTTCAGTAGACTAATATCCAAGTGGGGTTTTCAACAACTCCATGGAAAATGTATTTGGAAAAAATTGTGCATGCATTTCAATTTTTTATTGTACCAAGAGTATCTTTTAATTTCATTTTCCAAGAAGTTTCCTGAAGTACTCTCCTATACCTGCAGTATCATCACAGTCTAAGAATTGGTGAATTAGTGCCCATTTCTGGCCTCATAAGCCATGCACTTCACATTTGAGCTCTAGACACAGAGACTTGGGGTGGAATTTCTGGGTTCTAGTGACCCTGTTTTTCTCATGGCAAAAAAGACCAAGGTGGGGACAGGCATCAATAATAGCACTAGAATGAAGTCGTCTAGTGTATTTTGGTCAAATCCAGAAATCCTACCTGATTTCAGAGTGACTACTGTTTCCCAAATTCTGATTACGCTGCATGAAATTCTCTTTACGTACAATCGAGTGGGAAAGGGAGCAGTGTGCCCGCCACCACTGCTGCAGCCACAGTGCAGAGCTCCTTTGCAGCCATCTCCCAGGGTTACACAGGAATATAGCTCAGTCATGGCTTCCACTATTCTGTTTCATTTTCACATCGGAGCTAGAGGCAGAAAGGGAACTCTCCTACCCACTCGTTTAAACGAAGAAAATACTGCTTTCCAACACCAGACTATTTCTTTGACAGATACTAGAATTTAAGTATGGCACATTATTTTAAAAACATGGCCCCACTTATTCACTGAAGTTGACCTCAATATGCAATCACTGCAGACCCATTCTGTATCAGACAGGCCCTCTGCAGGCATTCAACCACAAATATAAAATCAAGTCCAGTTCCCAAGAACTCGCATTACCTTGCAGGAAGCAGTAGTCAACCACCTATAACACTGTGCGGCATGTGTATTCTAACAGGGATGGGCACAGCGCTTTGGAAACACAGAGAATACGGGGAATGCTTTACAGAAAGGGTGGCAGGTAAGCTGGGTTTTAAACTATCACAAAAAGAAAGAAGGGGAAATGTCTCTTTAACAAAAGAAGTTCTAAAAAAAAAGTAGTGGACACAACAGAGGAGAAGTCTTCAAGGACCCAGGAGTGCGGGTGGAGGTCGAGAGGAGAGCTGCAGAGGATGAACTAAGATGATGAGTAGGTGGCAGCCACAGCAGAATGGACAGAGCGCCACAAGGAAACTCTGCATCATATCCCGAAGGACCCAGGGCAGGCTAATGTTTTTAAAGGAAAGGTATTATGAGATCTAACCTGTTTAACGAAGGAAGCGTGGCGGCCGACTAGGATGACGGCAAGTGGACATCTGACGAGAAGGCCCTGCAGAGCTTGGCAGAGCCTGTTATCACATACCAGGCGACTCTGTGCTCTTGGATGCTTACCCATGTCTTTCCAAATGTTCTACATTCTTCTCTTTCATTATCAAAATATAATGATATCTTTCCCATCCAAAATATGCAACTTGTGCTTAGTAAAAATCACATTCCACAAGAGAGTAAGCATGTAAGGAAAATATTAAAAAGATAATCTCTTACCTGAACACAGCTGTTCCACTTTTGTGTAGTTTAACGATACTATGTCATTAACCCATGCAATGATGTCATGTCTGCTCATAGTCTCTTGGGTTATCGAGGTAGAATACACGTTGACTGCCATCCCCCAACTAGAAAACAACAAAAAGACTTATTTACCAACAACATAAAAACGAACCCAGATCAGTAAAAGACATTAGTCAAGGTCAGAGTGACTGGCCAAGCTGTAGAGGATACAACAACCTTCTCTGGCTAACTCCTTTAGCGTTTCTGTTTTACATATTTGCCATATGATTAAATTTCATGTATTTTTTCAAGCAGTACCATGCTACACCTTCCCTAAGTAGACTCAAATGTTACTTAGGTTCTGAGGTTCCCAGTTCATAGCACAATTGAGCTTTCTTTTGATTGTAAATCTGTGTGTGATGTTAAAAAGTTACCAGGCCTCTGACAATGCAAACTAGGGTGATCTTTGGTTTTAATTATTTCACAGTAATTTGATTATGAGTACTTGCACATACCAACACTTTGGAATCTGGCCATTTTAACAGATGTGTAGTGGTCACTGCTTTAAACATTTAAACTTGGACGAAATGTGGTAGTTTTCCTAATTTTGCAAAATATATACATAAATACAAATGTATTATAGATGCACATTAATTTTTATTTTGGAAAATTTCAAATTCATGCCAACAGATAAACAGAATAACAATGTTTATTTCTTGTTTTAAACATCTATCACAAGTTGACCAATCTTGTTTAACTTACACTCCCATCAGCTCCCCTTCTGCCAATCCCAGCCCTGGGTCCCTTTAAACCAGATTATTTTCCAGTAAATAGCAGGCATCACATCACTGTATCTACGCTTATTTTAGTGTGAGTCTCTTAAAAAGACACTACAGTCTCCACCTCCTGCATATCATTACACCTGAAAACAAAGATAATCACTCAATATAACTCACTTTGCATTACAATGTCCTAAAGTTTTGTTTCAGTTTGTCTGAATCCAGGTTCAAAAAAGATTGATACACAATAATTTCTTTGACTTGTTCTTTGTGCTTTAGTATCCATAGATTTTTCTCTCTATTTCTAGCCTTTCTGTGCAACTCTTGTTCTTACTGAAGAAGCAGGGTTATCTGGTACAGTTTCCACTGTTTGGATGTTGTATGCTGCATCGCATCCCGCCTGTATGGTTTAACATAATCTGCTCTTGTTTTTCTGCAGACTGGTAATTCCATCTAGAGACCTGATTTGATTCAAGTTCCAACGGGGTGAGGGGCAGTAAAAAGGAAGGGAAGGACCCAAGACAATTTCACACAGCGTTTGAAAGGAAGGTTGTGTGGTGCTGGCATGACTCCGTTCCTCCTGCTGTTGGTCATTGACAGCTGCCTGGATCCCATTACTCATTAGAAATGTCAAGTTGGTGCTCTACTAGGCATCTTGCTTTGTTAGCTGGCGCAATTTTACAAGGAAATTCCCCTTGGAGGTAGAGATCCTCTAAGAAAGGCAGGATATAGTCCCCCCCCGCCACGACCCCCCCCCCCACGCCCCAGTTTTCAAACAATGTGGTAGCTCCCCAATACTCCCTAAGCATGTCCAGTGAGGTCTTTATGAACTCACTGCAGTTTACATCCGATGGCTTAGGCTTTCAAGAACTTTGGAAAGCTGGCTTCTGAGTTCTTTTGACAAGGTCCTAGCAGTCCTTGAAAACTTCCTTACTTTTCTGGTATGACAAGATAATCCAGGTTCAATTTGTCTTTCCCGTCTTATATCCCAAACCAGCCATATATCTAAGGGCTCCTAATTTGTTTTAGTAGCAAACAGACTTGTTGAGACACGGGAGTAATATTTTCAGACATGACCAGATATGGCAGCAAAATCTACAGCTAGTAGGATTTACACAAAACCCTACATATTTAGTCTCATTAAAGCAATAAGGTTTGCTTTGTATTTCAAAGCAAATGAAATGAAGGTTTTATTTCTGAATAATAAATAGCCATTGGCACCCACATCTCTAAGCTTCTGAAAAGTTAAAACAATGTCAGCATTCCAACCTCTCAAAATGTGATTATAACTGCTTTTCTTCATTAAAAGCTTTGAAAATTTTCTAATAACTTCTGTTTCCCTTACTTGTTAAACAAAACCATGTGCTTAAAAAATCAAGCCAATTCTTATCACTTGCATACATTTTATAAATCTTTGCAAGGATGAACAATTCAAAAATTACGACATTTTTGGATGTAATTCTCATATACTAGGCTAGGCATTTGAGTTTTCTTGATAATTCCTTGGTGGGGATGAAAATCTTTTGCATTATAGGCAATGTGTTGATGGTGACTCGTATGTCAAGGCACAGAATTATACAAGATAGTACCAAAACCAACTGAGATGGAAGTCTGGCTCTGGTTGATTCAAAAAATAAGCAGACAAACAAACAAAAAACCTAAGTGCAAAGCAGAAAAGACATCTGTTTTACAAAGATCATCAAGCGAGTCAAAAGAGTTGAAAATGGTCAGCGGATACAGAACAGAAAGTAGTCTACAACAAGAGGCCAGGTCAGTGTGTTAGAACAACTGTGAAAAAAATCCATGAGATGTGCTAGCATTGTGGCCTAGCACGTAACGCTGCTGCCAACAATACTGACATCAGAGAGGAGTGCTGGTTGGAGACCTGGCTGCTCTACTCCCAGAGTACTCCCTGCTAATGGCGTGAGAGCAATGGAAGATGGTCTGAGTGCTAGAGTTCCTCCACCCACGTGGGCTACCCTGAAGAAGCTCCTGGCTCCAGCCTGGCGCAGCCCATCCCAGCTATCACAGCCATCGAGGAGTGAACCAGCAGGTGGATCAGATCTCTCACTCTATCTGTCCTCCTTTCTCTCTGCAACTCTGCCTTTCATATAATAATTTTTAAAATCTTTAAAAAAAAAATCCACGAGAACAAGGAAGCAGGTCATTTGCTGCTCCTGGTCAATGAATCACACTTCCCTCTACTCTTTACTGATAAGGTTAAGCTCCTTCACAGGCTTGCCGCTTACAGTACAAAGGCCAGTAAAGGCACTATCTGCTCATGCAGAAGCCCAGGTCAACAATGAAAAGAGCCCCTCACTTGAGCTTTAGAAAACCTCTGGTTAATCAGTTACTAGTCTCACCTCTCTAACCTTGGGTGCCCTTTCTCTCACACAACTGCACTCCCCAGAACCAGGCAGGTAGAGCAACCATGAAGTTAAAGCATTTGTGGGAAACCTCCACTAGAAGACAGACCAAGAGAAAGGGTGAACCAACAAAGGCCAAGGTTATTTTTAATGTGTTCTAATTGAAACAGTGATAACTGCTTAAATGAATATTTAATATTGAGGGCCTGACATGATGGCTCAATTGGCTAGCCCTATCTATTTCAAGTGCCAGAATGCCTTGTGGACACCAGTTCGCGTCCCAGCTGCTCCATTTCCCATCCAGCTCCCTGCTGGTGGCCTGTGAAAGCAATAGGGGATGGCCCCAAGCCTTGGGACTCTGCACTCACGTGGGAGACCTGGAGTAAGCTCCTGGCTCCTGGCTTCAGACTGGCTCGGCCCTGGCTGTGATGGCTATTTGGGGAGTGAAACAGAGGATGGAAGATCTTTCTATTTCTCCTTCTCTCTGTAAATCTGTCTTTCCAATAAAAATATATAAATCTTCAAGAAAAGAATTCAATGTTGACTTCAACTTCATAACATCAGAATCAATGGAGCTATTCTGTTAATCATCCATGGCGACTGAAATTTTCTCATCCCTATCTTTCTTTCCAAATTTTAGCATGGATACTTCTAACCCACAGTGGTGCTTTGTTAGACCCTAGCCAAGCATGCCAGGACTTGTGACTTGAGAGCTCTGGTCTGGACTCCCTGACCATGGAAGTGGAAGTGGCAGTCTGAACCTTCACGAAGCCAGAGAATGGTGAACACAGAAAAGGAATTCTACTCCTGCTGTGTCCCTCAGCCTTTGCCCTTCCCAATTCCTTCACATTCAGTGCAAACATCCAATCCTACATCATCCAAGAGACTAAAAACATTTCCAGGAGAAAGTTTACATTTTTAAAAATTATATTATATCCAAGTGAGAGGATCTCAAAGTAGATCTGGGCCTCTAAACAGCACAAGATTTTTATACTTTCGTGTGTCTGAGTCCACAGGATCGTATAAAGGCCAAGACACCTGGCCCTGCCTTATCTGCAGAATGATGTGTGGGTTACGCAAGTTGTTTTCACATCAGCCCAGACTCAAAGTGATCCTGTGCTTACATTTCAAGCCTTGAAAAACCCAAGCAGATGCTTGACAGAATCAGGAATTATATTCTTTCCATACAAAAGTGGATGCTCAAGGTGGTACAGGTCACGTTCCCCAGGAACTGGAAGTCAAACACACAATCCAGGACTCCTAGCCCTTGAGGAGCCTGCCAAACACATGAACGAATTATTCCACTGATGATAGAAATGTGTAGCAATTCAAAACTAAAATTTGAAAGTTTACTGAGTGATTTCCCGAGACTCCTAGAGGGTAAATGGCTATGAGAAGTGAGGCTGCACCAAATGCTTCTGAACAAAGAGCCAAAGCACCGTGTGGGGCAGGTCTTCCTGTGAGCACCTTTAGCATGACCATCGCAGGCCAACAGCCTGTTCTCAGAGAGGCTGCCAGCTGGACCCAGGGGCCTGGCGCTTCCCCTCGTGCCATCATCGCAGAGAGGGAGACCAAAGCACTGGCCCCAAGTTGTCAGATTCTTAACCAATCACTGGTTTAAGACTCATGAAAGTGAGAACTAAGAAAGTAGAAGAGAAATGAGTGTTCTGGCCTCAAAGCTCTGGGCGTGACATCTACCTATCTTTCTTTCACTTTTTATGAACTTATTTTATTGATTTAAAACAGCAGGAAGAGCGAGGGGGAGGGAAAGAAGGAAAGGAGGCACAAGAGAGGGAAGGAGGAGTAGGAAAAGAGAGGAAGGCAGAGAGAGGGAGGGAAGGAGGGAGGGAGGAAGAGAAGGAAGGAAGGAAGGAAGGAAGGAAGGAAGGAAGGAAGGAAGGAAGGAAGAAGGAAACAGAGAAGTGAAAGAGAAAGAGAGAAAGTGAGAAAGAGAAACAGAGAAGTGAGGGAGAGAAATGC